CTTAAGGTGTCTTAGGGCATGGGCGGAACCCCCCCCCCGCCTCAAATTTTTTTTTTTTTAATTTATATGGTTTTTTAGGTAATTTGTTTATCTTCATCCATTTTTTTTAGTCTTTATTATAAGGATTTTTAGGTAATTGCCCCCAACAGGTCGAACCCCGTCAGGGGGCGCTGCCCCCTTGGACCCCCGATATATATGTCTTATAAGTTTGCCCCCCCCCCCCTAAAAATTAGTGCTGGTTCCGCCCCTGCGTTAGGGGATTCGAACATGGGCTGCATGGAAGGAAAAGCTTCGCTCAACCAGCGAGCTGCACGCACGATCTCAATATATTCACTTTGACTATACATTTATTAAAATAAAATTGAAGTTTAAATAATAAAAAAAATAATTATGAAAGTTTTTAATTTAAATGTAAATATTATCCCGAGATTTATGTTAATGAATTTTTTTATGGCATTCATAACACAAATTCATAATTTATGAAAACAACAATATTCCATTTTAATTATTCCCTATGGTCCTTTCACAAATTTAGCAGTATTATACTATTATTACTCAAATATTATTGGAAACATATTCTCTTATATACGTAGCAGCTACGTCATGATGACAAGCAGATTTAAATTACAGGATTTACAGATCTGCGCGGTCACACGGCCGCAATAAACCCATCTGCCAACCTCCGCCACCGCCAGAGCACACGTGGCGGGTGGACTTCAGCTAACAAGGCATAGGTGTGAAGGGTGGGGCCGTCCCCACCAATGACTTCATGGGTCAACCCTCATGGCACCGGCACAGTAAATGGGTTGGTCAACAACCGGCTGACCAAGCCCACCTGATGTGGGGCCCAGCCCAATTCAAGCTAATTTTATTTAAATTATATTTTTAAATTAATTTATTTTCCAATCTCTCAAATTATTCATAGATATAGTATTAATAAAATATAATTAGTTTGAACTATAGAAGATACCTCTTGTGGTTATAATTGAGGAAGTCATAAAATATATGAGTTAGCCTTATACAATAATTGACGATATGCTTGGTTGGCAATCAGTAGAAGACAACTGTTGAGCATTTTTGATTGTCTACATTGATTATTGTTTTTTATTGGATGATTGCTGATGAGGAACATTAAGAGTGAGGCGATACTCGATCAAGCTGACGGTGTTATTCTCCTTATAAGAGGGGTCCATAAAGAAAGAAATATACATTGAACTTTAGTAAAATAATGATGCATCAGAAAAAAAAAAAAGAGTAATGACATGTTAGGAAAAATCGCCTTGATTTCACATGGATTTTGATGAAATATGAACTACAAACTTTCAAAATAAAATTTTGAGACCATCCAAACTCTGATTTATCAAACCTATAGTTAAATTGAGCATCTCAAGGAGACGATTGTCTACATTGATTATTGTTTTCTATCGGATGATTGCTGATGAGGAACATTAAGAGTGAGGCGATACTCGATCAAGTTGACGGTGTTATTCTCCTTATAAGAGGGGAGATTAAACAAATTCATGAAAGTCCATAAAGAAAGAAATATACATTGAACTTTAGTAAAATAATGATGCATCAGAAAAAAAAAAAAGAGTAATGACATGTTAGGAAAAATCGCCTTGATTTCACATGGATTTTGATGAAATATGAACTACAAACTTTCAAAATAAAATTTTGAGACCATCCAAACTCTGATTTATCAAACCTATAGTTAAATTGAGCATCTCAAGGAGACAAACTCAACGACCCCAAATTTGGTTCAATATGAGCCCAAATTAAAGGACCAAAATATATTTGGATGCTTCAGAGTAATAATTGGATGTCCAAATGATATTCAAATATGACGTGTTTGTAGTCGAATCAAGAAGTTCGACGAGATGAATCCAATGAGCCCAAGACTCTCTTGATCAAGACATATAAATATCTAAAGAATGCTCTATGATCAAGAGAATTGGAAAAAGTCATTCGATGGAACATTCCAAATTTATCATGGACCTTCGTCATCTTTATTGAGCGTGCCATTGTAAAAAAAATTATAAATAATCTCTCATTCTTCACATGAAAGAGGGGAAAGGGGATGAGAAAACTAGAGGGCTATACTGCATTCTCCAGCTAGTGGCCACAGCTGAATTTCTTCCCGACCACTGACCATCGCTCGTCAACTACAACCCCTCCGACTACATGCACCGCAAGCTTTTCGCTTGACCTTCATCACTTGATGATTACGGTCCTTTTGATCAATGACGTCGCCCACCAACTACGGTTATTCCAACCACTTTTTACCGCCGATTATGATCCTTCTGACAACTGTCACTCTATTACATTCCTTCCTAACACCGTTTCTTGCACACTATGTTCCCTCTTATCGTCATCGTCGTCTGACTATGATCTTTCTGACCAGCATTGCCTGCAGATTACGGTCCTTCCAACCTTAATTCATCGCCCAACAACGATCCTTCTGAACACGGTTGTCCACTGATTATGGTTCATTCGACCATCATTGTTTGATTATGATCCTTTCGATCTCCATCGTCAGTCGACTATAGTCCCTCTGACCACCATCACTTAACTATGATCCTTCCGACCACTATCGTCGGCTAATAATGGCTCCTCCAACCATCATTGCCTGACTTTAGTCCTTCCGACCTCCATTGCCCACCGATTATATACTACGGTCCCTCTGACCAACGTCACCCAACTACAATCCTCCACACTATTGTTGCCTAACTACGATCCTTCCGACCTTCATTACTTGCCGACTACATTCCTTCTAACCACCATCATTCGCTGAATAAGGTCCCTTCGACCATCGTCGCCCAATTAGGATCCTTTCTACCTCTATTACTTTATGAGTATGATCCTCTGACCTCTATCACCCAAATATAGTTATGTCAATCAAATGAATATGCCAACACTCTCTTGAGAATAGTTCTCATGACATTGGGTTCTTACAACTATGTAATTGTTCTATATAATATATATTTGCTACATTAATCCAACATTTTCCCCCAAGGAAAGACATCATTTATAATTAACAATAAATACTAGTGGATTTATTTAAATTGGCAAGACTTTGTTGTTTTTTTTTTTTCATTTTCAAGGATTTTCTCGTAAAAATTCTTCGTATCACTTATAAATGTTGCATTTATCTCTCTCTATATATATGTGCTAGATATTCATGCAAAATTAGGATGCTAATTTTTATCTCTCTGCCGACACGAATGTTCTAGGACACAACAAGTAATTATATGTAATTTGCTTTCAATGATAATCCTTATTGTAAGACTAAAAGCATTGTCTTATTGTAAGACTAAGAGCATTGTAGTTTTAAGTCAGCCTTTCACGCTTGACTCTAACCATTTATATTTTTGTTATATCCAATAGTCTTATGAAATTTTAGGGTATTATTTGCATTATTTTTCTTAATTATTATATTATAATAAATATACAATAATAACAATAAATCTTTATTTCACTACGTGAAGGAAGATTTATATCATGATTATTTGATAAATTTATGTTGATTGTCGACTACCTAAAACCATCCTTTAAAATAAATAACATAGAATTTTAGAGGTTATTGACTATCAATAATAAATAAATAAATAAATTTGAAAAATATGGACCAAAATAAGTTTGCATTAGTGGAGCACTGAGAGAATACCTAAAGCTCTTTAAAAACACTAATTAGATTTCCTTTAATTGTAATAAATTTGATTATTTGATAATTACCATTAATTAAGTCAAAGAAATCTAATTACCATTCAATGAATAACTTTGGATGCTGACTTAGGATTCATTTGAGACGACTTTTTTATTGCTTTATAAAATGGAGTTTTAGTATAAAAATAAAAAAATTTGTACTAAAACTCCGTTTTAGAAAGTAATAAAAAAGCCGTCCCAAACGAACCCTTAGCCTTCATTTGGGATTGATTTCTTACTGCTTTCTAAAGCAGCTTTTTAGTACAAAAATTTTTAATCCAAGTAATTTTTATACTAAAAAATATTTAAGAAAACAATAAGAAAATTGTTCCAAACAAAATCATAATTTGTGTAGTTTTAGGCTGATTTGATTCCATCGGGGCTGACAATTGGTTAGTATTGATTCACACAATCAGATAAGTTTGTCTTCTTAAATCTATATGTTCTCTGACAAATAAGAAAAATTATTTCTCTTTTTCCTCATGAGATAATTGGATTCCAATAATAATTCGATCTTCTACACTTAGATATACTTATCTAATAAAAACGTATATTTCTCAATAAATAAAACAATAGAAGAGAATATGCCAAATATATTAGTCAAATAACAGAGTTACATAATCAGTCGCTTGAATTACTAATAAAAGCCTAAAGCGAAGCTGCTAATACCCACTCGGCTATTGTATATACACATGCAGAGCTGTACAGTCCATCCACCTATCTAACCTCCATCAAACGCTAATAAAAATAAAAATAAGGAAATAAAAAAACAAAGGAGATTTACATACACTACTATTACATATATAGCACTTGAATTATAAAATTTATATATTTAGCATCTTAATTTTATTATTTGTAATATATAATACTCCCCATTAATCGGGGGTGGTTAGTGCGTTTTTTTTTTTTTTTGGAACAAGCGATTCATTCGCTGCCAGCCCCGAAAGGGATTTTGGCGGCGTGACTAATTCTCGGCTGACTTGGAAGAGGGCACTCACCCCAGAAACCTCTTGGTCCGCACTTGATTGAGCCCCACTTAGGAGGCATTGCCGTTCGATGGGAATCGAACACGAGTTGGGGGATTCCCAACTGTTCTCGCCCACCAACCAAGCTAAGCATACCACAATATGCCATTATGAGTTCTTCTTCATGGAGGTGTATTATATTATATAAATAATAAAATTTATGTATTAAATATATATATCTTATAATTTTAATTATTGAGTATGTAAATCCCCAACAAAATGATCAAATTAAAGAAAAATGAAATATATATATATTAAATTTGCGAAAGAGAGGACGGGTAAAAGCTTCTGTACTTCCGAATTCCTTCGAACTACATCGTACCCCATGAATCCAGAGTAGGGAAACTCGGGAAAGATTCGAAATCAAAGAAGGAAGAAGAGTCCGCCACTGGACCGAATGAACCGCAAGCAGTAGCGGTTGAGCCGACGCGGTCTAGTAGCAAAGCAGATGTGTCCAGCGTTGTAAGGCAGCTTGGCGGTTGACAGACCGAGCTCCCGAGACCGGACCACTCCGGCTCACGTAAAACCACGGGCTCGACCGGCAGTCCACCCTCCCCGATCCTAATACCTGTAACCTCCTGAACCATCCGACGGAAATTTGCCGGATCGGCGTTGATGTACGTCGTCGGAGTTCGCTTCGACGCCCTGGACTTCCGCTTCGAGATCTTTCTAGAAATCATGCTCCGATTTGGGATATTTCCTCGAAAAGCCGTAGAGGAATCCGGCTTGGCGGTCGAGGAGGGGAGCGGAGGGAGATATGAAAGGGTTTCAGAGGCGGAGGAGTCGTCTGAGAGCGAGATCTGGAGAGCTTTGGTTAGGGCTTCGTTTTCACGGGCGAAGACCCCCGAGATCCAGCTCGGTGAGTCTAGGAAGGCCGGGCGGTGAGTCCATGATTCGACAGCCGAGCTGTTTTCTGCCATGAGTGATATGCAAGTGGGAATTCGATGGATTAGGTTTCCGATCTACGCATTAGTTGACGGAATTAGCGAGATCGCCGTAGAAGGGCGGTATCACCGGAGAACGGGACCGTGATTTGAGATGATAGAGAGAGAGGTGAGAGCAGTTGAGCACGACGAGCTGATGCGTAACATGGAGGGCTTCTGATGGCTCGATCGACGGAATTTTATAGAGATGTCGAGGGCGTTGGCGACTTGCTGCACATTAAATTAGGCGGTGACCGAGGGTAAAGTCTGGACACGTGTCCAGATAAACTGAGGTATTAATTCTGACTATTTAATTTTTTTACATTTTTAAATTATTTTTTATTCAAAAAATAAAAACCTAATTTTCACTATTTACTAACCTATAATTTAAAATTTTGAGCACCATCAAATATATTACTCATTTTTTATTAATCTAAAAATTATCATCCCCTCCAAGAGATGCTTCAAAAAATATATTTAAATTTATCAAATAGGTAATAATATTTTAAATTTAAATCTTTATTTAATGTAGTTTAAATAAATTTTAAAATTAAATTTTGTGATATTTATGTAAGTCCCCTTTTAATATTTTAATTTATTATATAAATTTCATAAAAAATGTATCATTTTCAACAAGGACCTTTAATTAGAATTGTTCACAAAGACACTATATTAAATACCTTAACTAGAGTTATTTTATTTTTCTTCTTAAATTAACGCATCATATATAGAAACATTCTCAATGCTTTTAAGAGGAGCTTTTTTAGCCTAAAACTCATTCTTAATATTCTTAATATGAAGCATAATCATATTTCTAATTATCTCAAAAAATTTGTAAGTTCTACCTTTCATCCAGACAAGTATCTTCTAAAGTGATTGGGTTAGTAAGTTCTCTACTTATTCATGTCAAATAATTAGAAAATTCTTTTAACATATATTCCCTATCACCATTTAGTTTAAGAAAAAGTTTAGCAAGTAATAAATTATATACTAAAATTTTGAGTTAATTGAATTTTTGAAAAACTTAAAAATTATGCTTAATAAAGTTATATTCAAAACATATATTAAAAAATCATCAATAAAAATAACTATGTTGTGGACCTTCGAAAGGACACCGCCAGCTACAGAGTGTAGAGGTTATTCGACCGCACCACCCCGAGGGATAGAAACGATCTTATAATAAATGGCTAGGATCACATCTATGGGGTTAATTAGGAGTGAGCGGAGGAGATTAGCACATAATTTGGCTCTAGGGACCAATAAGAAACAGTTCAAGGCATTAAATACCATTAATAAAGTTAACCAAGGGAGACTTGGGTTGACCAAGTCAAGGGTTAACCTGGTCAACCCAATCAATTAGGTTCGAGTTAGGGGTTTGAACCAAGGATAGGTTTGAATTGAATTGAATTTGATTTATGCTCAAATAAGTCTAAATGGGTCAACCCTGGTTGACCTGGTCAACCAGGTTGAGTTAGGGCATGGGTCAGGACCCAATGGAAAGGTGGTCTTGGGGCCTGGCTTGGTCAATTTGACCAGGTCAACCCTTTAACCCAAGAGTTTAGACTAAAGTAAGGTCAACATATGTATTATATATAAATAAAACAAAGTGTGTTAAACTTCCTTGACACATTTGAGTGAATCAATTGCAATGATTCGGTAAAGTTTGGTCCCAATCTCTTTAAATGAAAGCTTGGGCATCTTTATATATTGTCAGTGAACACAAATAACGTCAGTATTCACTTTTGGTGTAAAAAGTTCATTAATAAGATTTTTGCATTGCATTTCACTAAGATTTTCTTAATTATCATGTTTCAATCTTGCATGCCGCAAATTAATTATCTCATGCTTAAGAGGTCTATCAATATAAGAATTTCTAGCATACATAATATAATACTGATTATTCCTTATGAAGAGCTCATTAGAAACATTTACATTTACAGAAATGTTTGCTTTGTTTGACTCCAAAATAAAAAATATATTTTGTCATTTGAGAAATATAAAGCAAATTCTTCTTTGTGTCAAGAACATGATAAACAATAATAAAAGAAAATGATTATCATTTAATAATAGAAAAGATAAATCTCGAATGTTCATGCAAGATAAAGTGAATCATCATTAATATTATTAGAATTGGATTCAGATTAAACATATGAAATTTCAAACACTCTTTGCAGCTAGTCAATTGATTAAATTAATCAAAATTGATGATCTACTCATGTGCAAAATTCATATAATAAGATCAAGTCTTCTTAAGTTTTGAATAGACCCAACTATTAGCATTATCTTCTCCTTGATCCCTAATTATAGAAACACTTGTCTTCTTAAGTTTTACTCTAAAATCTTATTTTCCTTAGACAAACTTCTCAAATGTGAAACCCCTTAAATAAAAGAAGGCCTTAAGTAAAAAGAATATAAACTCTTAAACATCAAGGCACATTTTGTTGTAATTGTTGAAATTTTATTAAGAAACCTCGTAGATAAATATGATCATCATGGAGAAATCCTAGGATATATAACCTCTTGGGAAGTTAGTTACACCAACAGAACAAAACCGTGAGGTTCTTATGCCAAAGCTAATAGTATTGCAATAGTTAAGAGTTTGGAATGTTACAAATTGTATCAGAGAAAAAACACCAATCAGAAGATGGAAACTAAGTGTCATATAGGACAAAGTGTTATGCTATGGGACAAAGTGCTACGTGGTGGGACTCATCACTTGAACTTGTATAGTAGAGGGCACCTCTAAAATTCTATCTACCTAGTGGATGATTCTAAGATAAAGATACTAGCAATGACATCAATTACTTAAGTATGAGAGATTATGAAACTCCTTAAGTAAAAAAAAAAAACTAAACTCTTAATCATCAATGCACCTTTTAGTATAATGGCTAAAATTTTATTTAAGAAACTCTAAAGTTAAGTGTGCTCATCCCTGAGAAATATTAGGATGAGTGACCTCCTAAGAAGTTACACCAACAGGACAAAACCATGAGGCCTTTTATATCAAAGCAGATAATATTTTGATAGTTAAGATTTTATCATCAAAATGGACAGTAGGGACATAAGGTAATAAACTGTCTTCATATGAGATATGGAGGAAGAACTGATTTTGGTGTACGATAGTATAGTCAGACAAAAAGACAGGATTGAGACTATATGGTCAAGAGTATACATTGAAATATCAACTAATAGGGCATATAAAAATTTTGATTTTAATTATGAGTTTAAAAAAGGCGTATGATAGAGCAGTTAGTGATATTTAGAGGGAGATTATTGCACCATGATTAAATACACTTACTCTAATAATAACATATGTGTGTAACTTATAATATTTAGAAGATAGATAACAACCCAAGAGTTCTATTTGTAAGAAGTTTATTTTAAATAGTTGAATGGCATAGCATATATATCATACATAATTAAATGATATGTGATATCATAAACTGCCTGATTTTTTTTTTTTTTTTTTTCCAGTTTTGGTTTTTTTTTTTTGACAAGTTTTGATTTGAGTTTTGATCATATATATTTGATTTAGATCAATTTTGTGTCTGAATCCTTAAGGAACAATATCGAGTATGATATTTTATAAGGTGGATAGTTTGTAATAAGGTATATTTTGACCTAATCTAATAAATTTTTATAAGAGTCATTATAAATCTAAATTATAAATCATATTCACCATAACATATATATTGTAGTTATTTAATTACATTAATATTTTTATAATATTTGGACAGTTGTGTCAATCCTAAAAAAATTGACACATGTCAGTAAAAATGAGGGTTTTATGATCGTCACTGAATTGTTTTACAAATTGATTTTACAAAAAATTTTAAATAAAATGTGTCATTTAATGAATATTTTTCTATAATTTTTTAATCCCCAAAAAAGACTTATATAAATCTTAAAATGAAAATTGATTAAACTATAGAATTATATTAATATCATATTATTATTTATTTATAAATATCTTAAGCCACTTACAATAATGTTATTAAATCATTTCCTAATTCCTAAAATTCAGCTAACATGGACGAATTAGAGAAAAATGAGAAAATTTGAGCAGAGAGAAAATAGAAGTTAGGATTTATAGGCCAAAATGTAATTTTTGTCATTCGATTCTATTGAGAGATTTTCTCGTCCATTGTAAAAAATCATCATCCTATTTCTGATTTCAATGATTTTATATTTTTGAAATTTTTTGGATCAATTTTTTGTTTTCATTATAAAAAATGAAAATAATTTGGTAGTGATAAAACTTTCACCTTATATCTTTTTATATGTTATAAAGATTAAGATTATGAACATTTAGAGTATTTATTTGAGATTTTTTATTATGTGATTTTGAAAAATAATAATAATATTTAACAAATTATAAATTTATTTTGATCTATAAAAATAGTGATTTAGTTTACTTAAATCTTCAAAATATTGTTATATATGATCTCTAGTAATTTGGTTAATTTCTGAAAAATATAAATTCTTGTTCAGTAGGATTTTTTATTGCCTAATACTAGGACATTTTGACACTTTTTAAATTAAGCATAATTATACTTTATTTAATACAATGCATTAGAAATGAATATGAATATGCAATTGAGCCATAGTTGATCGTTATTACTATTATAACACTACGATAATAATGTGTGTATATAAATGATAAGACTGGTTGACCCGTTGGTTGGAGATTGACAAATTGATTGACCTGTATAAGATGGTGGGCCAACATATTTTCCTTTAAAAATAAAATGGTTAGGTGTTATCATATATTGATAGAACGATATAATGATTAAAAGTTATAAGGAGTTATTATTATTGTCTCAACGGATAAAGAGTGACAGCTTTATTTACTAATCTAACAGTTACCAACTATCAATTATTGTTTACTAAAAAATATCATAATAGTCATAACTTCTTATTTGTTTAGTGTGACTACTATCATGCGTTTAGATTTGGATTATAAATTATAAATATTTTTTAAATTATTTTATTTTTAATATTGACGTCAACTGGCATGCACTTTTGGTATATTAAAAAAACTTTACGCCCCTAAAGACCGTTCTAAAAGGAATCCAGTAAAGATCAACGGTGGCGGTCAGGTCAGGTCGTCGGTGGGCCACGTGCGAGCTTCAGCGGACTTGGTATTTCCGACAAGCTACCGTGAGGCCCACGTTTCACCCTCTCCTC